AGCCCAGGTTCCAGAGACTCGGGCGTCTGACGGGTTGAATGAAAATGAATGGGTGCGTTTGTGTGGCCATAGCGTTTGAATTAGCAGCATCTTCTCCAGTCTTATTTACAGTACGAGCTCCCCATCGGAGCATCCTGCTCTCCACACTGGAGGCGTCCTGTGGTTAAGGAGGTTTGGAAAATTGACCCTCCTTGTCTGACTTGTGGCTAGGCGGAAGCACTGTCGCCCTTTCCTTAAGTCCCTTCCTTCTGCTTTTCCCCCCAAAAAATCCCCTTAAAGAGCGCAGGATGAGAAGGATTTCCTCTGGTTTTGACGGCAGATCTTTAATTTGAGCGTGCTCGTCTTCCACTCTTCTTCTCCGAGCTCAAACCTCTGCGGAGCTGGCGTTCCCCGTTCCTGCTTTATTCGTCCTTCTCATCTCACTTCTTTCCGTGACGGATTGTGACGAACTGTCTGCTCTTCTCACACACCCTCGGTCAGGCTTTTTTACCTTCTCACACAAATGCACACCTACATACTGAACAACCCAGAAGATCAATCTTGATGCATTTTAAAGTGTGCATATTTTGAGTATCTGTTAACAAAAAATTAAATTTCATATCCATAATTATGTTTTCAGTGGCGTGTGAAGAGCTTACATAATGAACCGTTATGTTTTTATGACCTTAGTATGAGCTGTTTCTCTCTACACACACTCCTTACATCGACATGTTTCTACAGTGGCCCTAACCGGACAAACGCGTTTCGTCACTATGTTGTTCTTCGTGCAAAGAAGCGAGTTAAAGTCAGCAACAGGTGACAAAAATATTCGCAAAAACATATCGTTTTACTGAATAATTAAATAAACCTATTTTCTTAATTCATCTTTGTAAAGAAACCTCATTGCTTAACTCTCAGACGACGACATCACTTCCTGTCGGCCATCGAAACTTCTGTTTTTTTTATGTGCAGTTCCCAGCCTCACCACTAGATGCTGATAAACATTACACACTGCACCTTTAAGAGTAAATCAATTCTTGGCTCAAAGTTTGCGCTTAAATGTTAGTTATCAAGCATCTCAGTGGTAATTTAGATTAATTTAGATTTAATTTGTCAGTCTTAGAGATGATTCACAACACTTAGCTACTCTCTACTGTATCAGACGACAGGGCTTTGGTGACGTCCATCGAAAAGTAAAGTTGTTTCACAGACAAAGTAAGGGCCGGGTCTCAAAGAGCAGCAAAGGTTAATACGTGTTTGCATCGAAAAACAAAGGAAAACTAGCGGAGTGCATCTAAAGAAAGAGTGTGTTTGATGTAATATGTGATTGGTGTTATTGTGAGGTATGAACAACCTTAAAGAGCGATAGACACAGAAAGGAAGCACTAACTAACTAACCCTCTCTTCCTCTCAGCGAGCTGCTCTTTCTTCTCTCTGGAGCTCTGAATGTTCAGAGAGTGCTATTTTTGTGGCTTCGTCTTTTACTTGTTTCTTTCTTGTTTAGACGCCTGTTTTCTTCTTTCTTTCTTTCTTCCAGTGTTTTTTTGTCTGCTGGTTGCTCCACATCAGAGATGTGCAGAAGGCTCTTTTGTGTTTGCTCTGCCCTGAAGGCATTCATGTTGCAAGACAGATTAATAATTACAGACTACACAACAGTCAGGGAGAAACAATTTCTAGATCTTTTGATGTCAAACATGAGAGAGACCAAAATTACACAGAAAAGAGGCCGTAGAAAAAGAAAAAAGGTCCCCAACTTTTTTTGTGTGTTTTTGTTTTGTTTTTAATTTCCTCTTATTGTTATGTCTGTTTTTTATGTGTATGCTAAAAGAGACGATAACTAAAGGGTTATAGAGGATGATCTGATGATGTTCATTTAGAGAGTGTGTTTTTATGTGTGTGGAATATTTTTTTGTAAAAATATTATCATTATTATTATAGTTATTACTATAAATCATTATTAACAAATTAGTGATGCACTGATATGAAAATTTTAACCGATAATTCTTAATATTTGAAAGCCGATTTATTTTGAGAGCCTGATTACAAAAACAAAAGTCTCACCATTAAAATCCATGTCCCAAACACACAAATATAATTGGCTTAAATATATCGGCCAAATTTTCGAATATCGGCAGATAACCGATAAAAATATTATAAAAATATTATTATAGTTATTACTATAAATCATTATTAACAAATTAGTGATGCACTGATATGAAAATTTTAACCGATAATTCTTAATATTTGAAAGCCGATAACCGATATTTTATATAATTTTTGAGAGCCTGATTACAAAAACAAAAGTCTCACCATTAAAATCCATGTCCCAAACACACAAATATAATTGGCTTAAATATATCGGCCAAATTTTCGAATATCGGCAGATAACCGATAAAAATATTATAAAAATATTATCATTATTATTATAGTTATTACTATAAATCATTATTAACAAATTAGTGATGCACTGATATGAAAATTTTAACCGATAATTCTTAATATTTGAAAGCCGATAACCGATATTTTATATAATTTTTGAGAGCCTGATTACAAAAACAAAAGTCTCACCATTAAAATCCATGTCCCAAACACACAAATATAATTGGCTTAAATATATCGGCCAAATTTTCGAATATCGGCAGATAACCGATAAAAATATTGTAAAAATATTATCATTATTATTATAGTTATTACTATAAATCATTATTAACAAATTAGTGATGCACTGATATGAAAATTTTAACCGATAATTCTTAATATTTGAAAGCCAATAACCGATATTTTATATAATTTTTGAGAGCCTGATTACAAAAACAAAAGTCTCACCATTAAAATCCATGTCCCAAACACACAAATATAATTGGCTTAAATATATCGGCCAAATTTTCGAATATCGGCAGATAACCGATAAAAATATTATAAAAATATTATCATTATTATTATAGTTATTACTATAAATCATTATTAACAAATTAGTGATGCACTGATATGAAAATTTTAACCGATAATTCTTAATATTTGAAAGCCAATAACCGATATTTTATATAATTTTTGAGAGCCTGATTACAAAAACAAAAGTCTTACCATTAAAATCCATGTCCCAAACACACAAATATAATTGGCTTAAATATATCGGCCAAATTTTCGAATATCGGCAGATAACCGATAAAAATATTATAAAAATATTATCATTATTATTATAGTTATTACTATAAATCATTATTAACAAATTAGTGATGCACTGATATGAAAATTTTAACCGATAATTCTTAATATTTGAAAGCCAATAACCAATATTTTATATAATTTTTGAGAGCCTGATTACAAAAACAAAAGTCTTACCATTAAAATCCATGTCCCAAACACACAAATATAATTGGCTTAAATATATCGGCCAAATTTTCGAATATCAGCAGATAACCGATAAAAATATTATAAAAATATTATCATTATTATTATAGTTATTACTATAAATCATTATTAACAAATTAGTGATGCACTGATATGAAAATTTTAACCGATAATTCTTAATATTTGAAAGCCAATAACCGATATTTTATATAATTTTTGAGAGCCTGATTACAAAAACAAAAGTCTCACCATTAAAATCCATGTCCCAAACACACAAATATAATTGGCTTAAATATATCGGCCAAATTTTCGAATATCGGCAGATAACCGATAAAAATATTGTAAAAATATTATCATTATTATTATAGTTATTACTATAAATCATTATTAACAAATTAGTGATGCACTGATATGAAAATTTTAACCGATAATTCTTAATATTTGAAAGCCAATAACCGATATTTTATATAATTTTTGAGAGCCTGATTACAAAAACAAAAGTCTTACCATTAAAATCCATGTCCCAAACACACAAATATAATTGGCTTAAATATATCGGCCAAATTTTCAAATATCGGCAGATAACCGATAAAAATATTGTAAAAATATTATCATTATTATTATAGTTATTACTATAAATCATTATTAACAAATTAGTGATGCACTGATATGAAAATTTTAACCGATAATTCTTAATATTTGAAAGCCAATAACCGATATTTTATATAATTTTTGAGAGCCTGATTACAAAAACAAAAGTCTCACGATTAAAATCCATGTCCCAAACACACAAATATAATTGGCTTAAATATATCGGCCAAATTTTCGAATATCGGCAGATAACCGATAAAAATATTATAAAAATATTATCATTATTATTATAGTTATTACTATAAATCATTATTAACAAATTAGTGATGCACTGATATGAAAATTTTAACCGATATTTCTTAATATTTGAAAGCCGATAACCGATATTTTATATCATTTTTGAGAGCCTGATTACAAAAACTAAAAATCTCACCTGTTAAAATCCATGTCCCAAACACACAAATATAATTGGCTTAAAATTATCGGCCAAATTTTCGAATATCGGCAGATAACCGATAATGTACCGATATATCGTGCATCCCTAAACAAAATATGCATTGTAACAAAAACAATTCCTCACATTAAATGTCTGATGTCATATTTCCTCTTTGATATCGTTCTGTCAGTGGCTTTTTGGATGTGTTGTTTGATGAAGAACTAATATGTAGTTTCTCTGGCCCTGCTGAATTGTTCTTTCAATTTAAGGTAATTACCCCCTTTTAAACGGAGGGCGAGATGTGCCTCACACGTGCACGTATATAGAGAGTGAAAGCAGGTTGACAGGCTCTTTGTTGCAGTCTGACAGCTCTTTTGGCGGTTGTGTCTCAGCGTTGTTGTCAGACATGAGTCTGAGACGCTGTTTGTTTTGCGTCGACACACATTTGTGGGCTGAAGTTCTCTGTGTCAACATAAAACACTTCCCCAATCAGCTGATAAACAATAAGTATAAAGCACAACGTGATACTTTTATGTGACGTGTTTTCCGTATCCTTTCTCTCTGTTCTTACTCCTGAGAATAAAGCAAGTACATGGATATGTGTGTGTAGCAGTCACGGGGTGACCCAGTTTGTGTGTCGTAGGGATAAAGATGAGCAGCTGGCTCGTGTTCGGGACAGTCAGAGACATCAGGCCCATCAGGCTGAGAAGGCACTGGAGAACTTTAAGAAGCAAGTGGAGCTCAGCTCAGAGAAGACCTATGCTGACATGAAGCAACAGGTGAGGCCAGCACACTTTCACACTACAGTTAACACTTCCTCACACGCACCAAGAGGAGAAAATCAAGGTGTATGAAGGAGATGTTAAGGTACGTTTACACGACAATGATATGCTTAGAACGGAGAAGTCTTTCCTTTTTCCGCGTGCAGAAATGATCCCCGTTCACATGGATCCGCGAAAACGGCTACAAAATGCGGTATTCTGCTGCCAGGCCAGTAGATGGCGATGAAACAATATTGTTAAAGCTACAATATGTACGAATTTTGTAATAAAATATCCAAAAATCACTTGGAGCGTTGCAGTTGTGTACTTACAGTATCCCAAAAGTCTACAAATATTTTTTATTTCAGAAAAATTTCAGTGGCCGTCCCGCGCTATCCTCGGGTTATGACGTAACCATGGCGACAGACGTGGACAACTGCGCAATGCGTAATGTTTAGCGGCACGCAGTTCTTGTTTCTTTCCAACATAGACCATGGAGAACTACAAACAAGGAGAACTAAAATGAGGATCAACATCAGCGTGGCGTTTTTGAGATGCCAAGAGCTAGCGTCCGGCTAAACGGCTACAAAATGCGGTATTCTGCTGCCAGGCCAGTAGATGGCGATGAAACAATATTTTTAAAGCTACAATATGTACGAATTTTATAATAAAATATCCAAAAGTCACTTGGAACGTTGCAGTTGTGTACAGTATCCCAAAAGTCTACAAAGATTTTTTATTTCAGAAAAATTTCAGTGGCCGTCCCGCGCTATCCTCGGTTTATGACGTAACCATGGCGACAGACGTGGACAACTGCGCAATGCGTAACGTTTAGCGGCACGCAGTTCTTGTTTCTTTCCAACATAGACCATGGAGAACTAAAATGAGGATCAACATCAGCGTGGCGTTTTTGAGATGCCGAGAGCTATCGTCCACGACTAAATTGGACTCGGCAGGGCTTCACGTGCCACGAGCAAATGTACATAAAACAAATCAATGTTATATAACGTTATCTCAACATGATGAAATGTTAGAATATGGTCAGTATGTTATTCTAACGTTGATCTAGCTTACTGCTAACAAGTGCTGTCAAACGATTAAAATATTTAATCGCGATTAATCGCATTAATGTCATAGTTAACTCGCGATTAATCGCACATTTTTATCTATTCTAACATTGGAATAGTGTTCAATTTCACACTAACATATAGCCTATAAATAATCTCTCACACAATGTAACACTGTCTATCAATAAAAGGGTTAAAAAAATACTTTTTGCTTTTTCGACCAAAGCGCAAGCGGATCTAGACCATAAACAAAACAACAGGCACGCAGCAAACACACGTTTCGGCTTGCGAGCCGGCTTTGAGTGGATGACGAGCGCGAGACACCAAAATGGATCAGGACGCATGCCGCGTCCTGTTGCAAAAGCATGTGAAAAACGACAAAGTTTGCAAGGACAAAAAGACCGTTAATCGCGCGATAAAAAAATTAACGCCGTTAAAATGGGTTCGCGTTAACGCCGTTAATAACGCGTTAAACTGACAGCCCTAAAACTGGAATAGAAACATTATATCATTAATGGTCATATAAAAACTGCCTTATGTGCAATTTAAGTGTTTGTATTTATCTACGTTTTCATTTCAGTGTTATTTCAGTTGCAACACAATAATGAATTGATTATTAAATTAACTAGATTTTTGATTTGGTGTTTATGTACAGAAATTCAAGTCGGTTCATCTCTAAATTCAGTTTTAAATGAGACTGAGCGTTGTAAACAAACATTTAAAGTATTTAGTCTATGGGGTTTTATTAGTGATATCCAATCACATGATCCATTCCTGTAGGAATTGCCATAATTATGAGTTTCCAAGTAGCAAAAATATAAATATGGATAAGAAGGTTTTATGAACGATATGACTTCTCCCGCACTGTGAGTATTTAAGTACCTTGACACATTTCTGTTTGATATGTTTCACCTCAATTTGTTTCAAACTTGTATTTGTTTCTTTTTTTAACTAATATGATGATATTTTGGACCCCATTGACTTCTGTAGTATTTTTTTCCTCCTATGGAAAACTGCTTTGGTTGAAAAATTCAAAATATCGTCTTTTCATTTTTTAAGTGAACAACAAAGCCACACATGGATAAATGATGAGGATTGCTGTAGAAACTAATACTTGTTGATTAATAGTCTCCAAGTGGTCATCTCATTAGGAAACACCATCACATTTTGCCACTTTAGAAACCCACAATCCGGTCATAGTGTGCGTTCTTGACCAGAAAAGACTGTGTTGTGGTGGCAGACGGAGACGTTCTTTCTCTGATATCTCTGTGTAATTGAGCTCAGGATGTGTTTGGGCCGTGGATTGTTCCAGACAGCGAGCGATCAGGACTGCAGACCGGATCATAAATCACACTCCCTCGCTCAGTCTCTCAGGATATCACTGCATTCCCCCATAGAGACGATCAGTGACAGGCTTCCAACATGGCTGAATAGTGAACACATGACCTGTGCTGCTCATGCTCAGTACAGGTTTATCTGGCTACACTGTTCTCTCTCCTAAAGGGCCCTATAACACACTCGGTCAGGCGCCACGCAAGTGTGTTTTGCTAGTTTCAGCCCGACGCAATTTTCATTTTCCAATCCGCCATGGACGAGCGCAACTGGCTTTTAAAGGGAATGGGAGATGAGACCCTAATTGGTTTATTGCCCAAAAGATTGCCCATAGAGACAACCCTTTAGACCATGCGCCGTTCCCTTCGTTAAACTAGCAAAAGTGGATTTGGACAAGACCATGCGCTCAGATCCTTAAAATAGGGCTCATAGTGTCAAAAAGTCCAAATAAATGGCTGTGATGCCTCCACTGGCGTCTGAATGGTCTGAATCACTGATTGGTATTAGATGAGCAAGCAGGAGTTGTTACTCATCCCGACATGTGAGTGTTTGAACATTCACCGTTTCCATCATAACAACTGCGCCTCAGCATCATCATCATCATCATCAGATCCTGAGCACAGATGCTGGAGTGGAGCGCCAACCGGTTCACATCTGCGTCCAATGTGTGCGCAAACAAACATTCGCGCTGCTAAAAGCCTCTTAATGTTCATCATTGAATACTAAATGATCCAATCAGAGTTAACTTGGTTTACTTTCTTAATAAATATTACTGGTCTTGTTATGAACGATTTCTGAGTGCACATTGTAATAAAGATCACACTTCAAATGAATAATAATCGTAATCAATTATCCATGATCCAATTAAATCCTGGGCTGTTTTTCCCAAAACAGTTTTTTCTAGTTTAAGATGCTTTTGGGAAACTCACTGCATTTCCTGCGAAGTGTAACATTTTATTGGCTGAATGAAATTGTTATTTAAGGATTTGGTAATCTGTTGATTCCTTGCGGAAATTAACCATGTTTTTCTACGATACAAAAAAAAAAAAAACATAAATGCACAAATTTAAAGGAGTAGTTCACTTTTGAAAAAACTTTTGCTGATAATTTACTCACCCCCATGCCATCCAAGATGTCCATGTCTTTCTTTCCTCAGTCGAAAAGAAATTAAGGTTTTTGATGAAAACATTCCAGGATTTTTCTCCTTATAATTGAACTTCAATGGGAACCAGACGTTCCAAGGTCCAAACGACAGTTAATAACAGTTTCAGATGCAGCTTCAAATGTCTTTAAACGACACCAGACGATGAATAAGGGTCTTATCATGCGAAACGATCGGTTATTTCAAAGCTTATTCCAAAAAAGTAACTTTTCTAAGGACAAATGCTAGCCTTGTAATATATTGTGATGCGCGTTTGCAACGTCACGTAATACGTAATTACGTTCAAAAGGTCACGGGCGACGTAGCCGAAAGTACAGAATCAAAATCGTCCAAAATCGTTGTTTTACCTTTTAATTCCTTTTTTGTAAACGGCGTTTGAGTTAGTTTGCACGTTCAACCTATGCGTTCAACTTGTAAACACTCTGACTCTGTACTTCCGGCTAGGTCACCCGTGACCTTTTGAACGTAATTACGTATTACGTGACGTTACAAACGCGCCTCACAGAATAGACCAAGGCTAGCATTTGTCCTTAGAAAAGTTACATTTTTGGAATAAGTTTTGAAATAACCGATCGTTTCGCATGATAAGACCCTTATTCATCGTCTGGTGTCGTTTAAAGACATTTGAAGCTGCATCTGTAACTGTTATAACTGTCGTTTGGACCTCGGTTGGACCTGGTTCCCAATGAAGTCCATTATATGGAGAAAAATCCTGGAATGTTTTCATCAAAAACCTTCATTTCTTTTCGACTGAGGAACATCTTGGATGACATGGGGGTGAGTAAATTATCAGCAAAAGTTTTTTCAAAAGTGAACTAATCCTTTAACTGTGTTTTTTTGTTGTGGTTATACATATGGTTATACAAATGGTAGTCAATACGTTGAAAATACATGGTTTTACTACAATAAAACCTTAGTTAAATTTCGTAAGGGAACACTATAGCAATTGATATAATGTTTTAACTCTGTTCTCTAATGGTGCTTACACACTTTTAAAGGAGTAGTTCACTTCAGAATTATAATTTCCTGATCATTTACTCTCCCTTACGTAATCCAAGATGTTCATGTCTTTCTTTCTTCAGTCGAAAAGAAATGACATTTTTTGAGGGAAACGTTCCAGAAACGTTGACTTCAACGGGTCGAAGGTCCAAATATGAGTTTCAGTGCAGCTTCAAAGTCTTGACAAGATCCCAGACAGGGAACAAGAGTCTGATCTAGACAAACCATCCGCCATTTTGTAACAAAAATAAACATTGATGTACTTTTTAACCACTAATGCTCGTCTTACACTAGCTGTGACGCGCCACACATTATGTACTCGAAGGCGGAAGAACGACCGAGTGTTAACAAAGTCAATGTGCGAAGACTGCCATTTTCTGTCAAATGCCATTTAGAAAACAAATAAATAAATAAAGATGAAACAACGATGTCGTGCGATTTTGAAGTTAAGGATATAATGAGACCCTTCTCTATATTTCTGAACTGGAACACGACGCGTGACCTTTCAACCTTTATTTTTTGGTTATAAAATGGTGGATGGTTTGTCTAGATCAGACTCTTAGGCTACGTTCACACTGCAGGCTGAAACGACCTAATTCCGATTTTTTTTGCCCCTATGCGACCTGTATCTGATTTTTTCATGACAGTCTGAAAGGCACAGATCCGATCTTTTCAAATGCGACCCAGGCCACTTGGGTATGTGGTCCAAATCCGATATGTATCCGATCTTTTGAAATGCGACTTCAATCTGAACGGCCAGGTCACATATATCCGACCCGCACGTCATTGCACGCACCTGTAGCTAGCCAATACACGCTAACTCCAACGCGTTTCTGCGCTGTTATGGGCCGCTGCAGACGTGTCTCTTCCCCAGTGTTGTGCCTGAACGCGTTCATATACTGTATTACTGCCTGATGAACATTACTGTGAAGACATTCATTCTGGTGTCTGTGAACGTGCGCTCTCTGTCAGTTTAACTTCGTACAGTAGGGCAGCCTTTCTCAAAGTGGGTGCCCCCTAGCTGTGTCAGGGGTGCCGCCAAAAAATTACGTAGGCTAAAAAAAATGTGGGAAAAAAAAAACCCAGAAAAAAAAACAGCTGACATTTCATATATAAATATATTTGAATTTACATTCTTCTTTTTAAACATATGAACATATTAATAAAATTGTAAATTCATTTTAGATAAACATATAAAATTAATCATAAAAAAATCCGTCTCACAAGACCGAAGCAAGACACACACAACTTGACGCAAGTGACGCAATCCATAGCAACGCGTTATAGCAACACCTCAGACTGACAGAAACGTAAAAATAAACGTGAATTTAGGCCACTTTAGTTACAGCATTATGGATCGTTTTTTGAAAATAAAATCCCCACAAGTGCCGGGGATTTTTATTTTATTTTATCTGCATCCTGCACTTCATTTGAGTTCTCCTGGTCTGGATTTGTTATTGGGTTGGGCGGTCCACCTCTTACGATATTATGGCATTTGTGTCTCTGATTAATTATTTTGTGAATTACTTTGCAAACCTGTGTTTTTAAAGGTGCTATAAAGTTTTTATTATTATTGTTATTTACAGTTCATATTATGCTCGAGTCATTACTGTTCTGTCTAACTAAACAAGACATTTGCATTTAAATTTGGGTTATGCAGTGTTTTTAAATTATATTTTACACTGGGGTGCCTTGAGATTTTATGCACTTTTGAAAGGTGCCCTGACTGAAAAAAGTTTGAGAAAGGCTGCAGTAGGGTGCCAGATTGATTTCTATAGAGCCTTCCAGGCGAAAACCTGGCTAAAACACATGTAAACATGCCTAAAAAACACCCAATCTGGCAACACCAGCCACCAGTGTCGCACCACGGCCGCCGGAGGACGCGCACTATCAATTAAACGACGAGGTCGGTGAGGATTGGAAAAATCGTACATTTATGTGCAAACTTTGCCCGTCGATAAAATAATTGTTGTCTGTGTTTGTATATGGGCTGTGGCAATAATAATAATAAAACAAAAGTTCGCAACATATGGAAAAAAAGAATTATTCCGCAAACAACAAGTGACGTCGTTGACCGTTGATTACTCTTCTGCGCATGCGGGTCACTTCTGGGTCATTTCACGTTCACACAGGACATCGCAAAAGGGCGCATTTAATTGGAAATGTGAACGGCCTTGCAAAAAAATCGAATTTTTAAAAAAAAATCGGAATTGAGCATTAAGCCCTGCAGTGTGAACGTAGCCTTATTCCTCGTCTGGGATCGTGTCGAGACTTTGAAGCTGCACTGAAACTCACATTTGGACCTTCGACTCGTTGAACCCCATTGAAGTCACTATTTGGAGAAACCACGTTTTCCTCAAAAACCATAATTTCTTTTTTTTTTTTGTAATAATCCTTTAGAAGTGGCATCCTAAATTCTCAGCACGTGTGAAATAGAGGCTGCGTCCATCTACAATAAGACTCAGTCCTGTCATCAGGACTCTCATGAAATGCTTACTGCAGAAAAACAGAAACTCAAAGCCCCTTTCAGGCAAGTCATTTCCACTCGGCGGCCATCTTTGAAACATCTCAGCTATTTCAGTCTTGCAAGTTCAACTCTTCTCTCTCTGAATGGGGAAACATCAAATTCCCCAAAGCTGTTTAGCTTATTATAAAATGTCATATTTGACACAACCAATGACAAAACAATCAATTTTGCAATATTCTAAACGCTCAAAAAAATATATACTTTCCAGGCTGGACCAGCCAATGCGCATGTCACGTGCTGACTTTGCCAACTTACAATTGGCTTACTTTTTAATATAATTAATATTAATATAACCGCCATATTGTGCGCTGCGCTTTCTCCCATGAGTGCACCGTCTTTATATATCTAAATCTAAATATCTATATCTGTGCATTCCTCAAAACTCTCTGAAATCCTAGGAAATACCCAGATAGCAAACTGACATTGAATCAACGTGGAAATATGACATCGAAACAACGTTGATCTAACATTGTTTTGCTCATCGAATTAATGTTGAACCAACGTCAGACGCGTCATTCTTTCGAAACTAACGGAAAATCAACTTGAAATCAACGCGTTGTTTCAACGTTACGAAAGCAAACCAATTTTCGATTTTCATTTAGCTTTGAAGAATGCCGCGTCTGACGTTGGTTCAACGTTAATTCGATGAGCAAAATCAACGTTGTTTCAATGTCATGAGAGACGTCGTTTCCACGTTGATTCAATGTCAGTTTGCTGTCTGGGTATGAACATGTAAAGACTGGTTGGCCTAAAAGATCTCGCCCCACACTCATGCCATCAGTCAGTGTCGTCGTGTTGGGCTTCACATTAAATGCATCGCTTAGTGTTGTTTATCCTCAGTTTGTTTGGCAGCAGACCTGGTTGTTGACAATCTAGCTAGCACAGCTATTTGCATTTGTACAAGAATCAGACAATGGCCATGTACAAACTCTGAAGTTTCAAGAGCGGAAACCGCATTTAAATGCGTGAGTGAATCCTCTAAACTACTGAATGATTGACGCATTGGTAACCATAGCAACGTTTTGGCTCACGACTGTGAACATGAAACGTGAATTCCCATGGGCAGATTTGATGAATCCTACAGTGTGGCCAGCATTTCTGGATCATATTGCTATGTTTACATCGACGCCTTTTTACATCCCAACATGCTTTGTACATGCATGTTAAATAAAGCAATCGGATTGATGTCACAAGATTTACATTGGATTTGATCTTTTAAGCACAATATATACGAATATACATCCTCCCCTCCTTTGTTGCCTTAATCTTTATCTATAGCACTTTGAGATTTTGCTTACATATAAAGTGCGTTACACATAAAATGTCGTGTTATTATTATTCTGGGTCGTGAAAGGGGCTATTGTCAAGACCTGAATCAAGTGAAACTCGAAAAATGAGAATATGGTGCATTTATTTCAGTAATTCAACTTAAAAGGTGAACCTAATATATTATAGAGACTCATTACATGCAAAGTGAGATATTTCAAGCCTTTATTTGTTATAATTGTGATGATTATGGCTTATATGAAAAGCTTTTCACAATATTCTAATTTTGAATTTGGGGTTTTCATAAGCCATATTCATCAACTTTATAACACATAAAGGCTTGAAATATCTCACTTTGCACGTAATGAGTCTATATAATATATTAGTTTGACCTTTTAATGTGAATTACTGAACTTTTGCACCATATTCTCATTTTTCGAGTTTCACTTTTACATTCTGATGCATGATTAAATAAGTCACTAACAACTTGGTTATTCATGTTGGTGCGTTTTTGGTAAATGCGGTTGTAACGACCTGCATCTTCACCTCAAGACTTGGTTTTAGAATGCGGTTATCAATTAGTAAACTGTGTGTGTGTGTGTGTGTGTGTGAACAGAATAGGATCATCACACAAAAAAGGTGGGTTTAGCCAATGGATGGTTGTGAGTCAGAGATATGTAAGTAGGAATATGTGTTTATGTATGTGAGCTCCCACAGGAACCTTTAACCAGGATTGCATTAAGTCATGTAGGCAGAGTTCCTCTGTCTGTGTGTGTGTTTACTAATGGTCATGAAGTTGTGGGCGAGCGTTCTGGGATCCTAAAGCTCTCTCTGGACTCCCACATTCTGCTCATGTTGTTTCTGATTCACCTTTCTCTTTCCACCCCGAGTCTCCAGCGATCGTCATGTGTCCAAGATCCAACCCACATCAAAGTCTTCAACTCCCCCTCTCTTTCTCTTCTCTCTGGCCATTTGCATTCATCTGTTTGCAACGGCTTCACAGAAAGGAAAGTGCTCTGGATAACGGGACATGGCCTTGACTTGCACATCCTAACTTTTAATGAGAAATTGGTAACACTTTCCAATACAGTTCATTAGTTAACATGAACTAAGAATGAGCAATACTTCTACAGCATTTATTAATCTCAGTTAGTATTAATTTCAACATTTACTAGATTATTAAAATCTAAGGTTGTGTTTGTTAGCATTAGTTCATGCACTGTGATGAACAAACAATGAACAGCTGGATTTTTAATAAAAAACACCATCAGATCACCTTTTCTATGTGTTCATCTGGCTGTTATAACTCGTGTACTGCAGCCAAACAAAATCTAAAGTTAATGATTTAAGGGTCAAAAGCCCAACTAAAGCAAACACTGATCTCCACAATGGTGACTTAAAATTACGGTTTTCTCCTTCAGTGATGCTGCTTGTTTTCATCGGGTGTCTTCAATGATGCTCAATCATCACTCAAAGTGTTAATTTAACACTGGGGGTTTTGCTGTGTACAATCGCATCAGTTAGATCGAAGTGTTGTGTTTACATGAGGTAAAGTTTAATCACGAAATGGCTAAAATCGCATAATTGTTTCTGCATACAGTGAAGTAAAAGATCCTGAAATATTGCTAAACATGTGATTGCAGATGGAGAAAGTGGAGTGTGATCTGATCCGCTCGAAGTCTCTACGAGAGCAGCAGTGTAAAGAGTTCGGCTTGCAGATGGAGGAGTTACAGCGGAGATGCGAGCAGCAGGTCTCAGTTCATTTACATCACATTACCTGTGACCAACCAATCATTTCCTCTGACTCCCGCATTATTACAGTTCATATTCAAATCTAATGATTGGACGGGCTGTCGCAGGGTTTGTTTCCACAATTTAAAACCCCTTATCACATCACTGCATTCAGTCTCCGGTTCCACCTGATTAAACATGTAATTTGTTCTCCATTTAATCAAAGTCCAATCAACTGATAAGATGCTACCTTTTTATTTATTAATAATTGACTGAGAGGAATGTGTTTATCTTTGAACAGTGAAATAGTGTTATCATATTGCAATTTAGCAGTACATTATATTGCAGATTAATTGCATTGAAGCACATTTTGTCGCCAAATAATGGATTTCATGTAACATGATCATATGAGGAGCTGAATAGTTAGATATTTGATTTATAATATAATATATTTTTGCAGATTTATTCATGAATTTCCGATCATTTTGGCTCAAAGCCGATATTGACATACATTTATTTTTTTCTGCAAGTCTCACCTGTGCAAGAGTTATAAATACATTATTATTTTTACAATTATTAATTTCATTTCAGTTAGTTTTGAGCAAAAAAAAACATTTCTTTTCTTTTTTGGTTTCAGAGTGAGGTCTCCTTGCCAAAAGGTTACTTAAATGTTAAAGTTCTTTTTTATAATAAGAGTACATTAAAAGCTGTGAAAATAACAATAATAAAGTCAGTCACAGGTTTTTCCCCTTAGACAGATGCAGTTTTAATCTAAATATTTATCATTTTTTACAGAAGTATGTTGTCGAAGACGATCTTTTAAGCTAAACACAGATGTTTATCCAGTAAACCGACAGACTGGACTGATGAAACCTGCAATTATTAGTCTACTAATAAATTTGATGTAAACAATAGATCTACATAAAATTCATAGATAATAAAGGGCATAATGTATTAGTATTTAAACCTATAACATTTTACATAGGTAACATTTAAACACTTTTTTCAGTTTATATCTCCCAATACAGACTTTATAAACGGTTTATATCACATAACCAGTGTATATGAGACATGAAAATGTTTTCTTCATGCCTTAACGTATCTTGAATGTAACTCGACACCCTTGCCTCATTTAGGTTCTGTGAATATGTAAATGAGCCCCGCCTCAGAGATCCACTGGTTGACGATCACACGTTGATCTGATTGGTTACAAGGTGGTTTGTGACGTCAGAAACACCAGCGATTTCAAACCGTGTTTTTGAGACTGTCTTTGGTTCACTGCAGTTTTAAGCAGAAAACGCTCTCATATTAAAAACACATAAACAACATTAAAAGCTTGATTTTCACCACAGGGGGACTTTACGCAGACGCTATTATCCAAAAGCGGAGAACAATAGAAGCAATCAAGTCAACAATAGGGCAAAGATATGCAAGTGTTGTGACTAGTCCCAGGGAATACAATTATATCAAAACTGCATAACAAGTACTACATACTTTTAAAGAAATAAACAATCAAACTACCATCAATCTTTACACGGTTGTTCTCTCTTTCATCTTTGTCTGGAATATGAAAAATGACACCAGGTCAGAGGGATTGTTTGTTCAGTAACTCACTGATCCCACTTTGACGAACAAAACTCGTGTACTATTTCTACCGTAATGTTCCATTGTTGAAGAGCAGCTTTATTGACCTTGTACTTGTGGCAGCTCATTACTTGTGAACTTGCCCACACAGTGCATTGTGGGCGCTCTTTGCTTTTTCCTTTTTCTCAGGTTATTTAAAACCGAGACAAATACATTCCTTGCTGAATTTCTCATCGTGGGTGAAAATGACCAGAGCGGGACGATATACTGTAGGAAACTACACTAAAAGCCTAAAATCCAAAAGAAAGGACAGACAATAAGCTGTTTTTTTTTTTTTTTTTTTTTCTGTGTTGTGAAAGATTCAATCCGCCAGCAGAATCCAAAATCCCCCTTTGACTCAAAGTCATTCATTTGATCATGAAATCCGGTTGTAGTTCATCAAACTTATTGTTTTGCTTGTTGTAACACTATTACCTGACACACACGTCATGAATATGAAGCAGGTTTTATGCATGTTTATGACGACTGTAATTAAGTGTCATTCGCTCAAATATGACATTTTGAATGCAAATACGACATTGTTTGAGATGTCTTTGTTATGACCCCTTGGCATTTCCAATATATCATAACCTGTCACCTAGCTTTATGGGTTAACATTACATTAACCTATCAGGTGGTTGGCATTGACATTGGCTGTCATGAGGCATTATAACTTTTTAATGACAAATTTAATGTGTAGCACTGAAGTTGAGGTCACGAAACATATTCATGACAGTTATAATGCCTCATGAATTGTATTTCTAGAACACAGTTCCAGAATGTAAGATTGAATGAGTGCGCCCAATAACATCCACAATGGTTTCCGACACACAAAGTGCTTTTCCCTCAAATATTGCCCTATTTAAAGCGTTTTGGCTTTAGTATGAATATGTCATCTACAGTATAAGCTACTGTGCTCCAAAACAATGACAAAATTCGCATTTAGAAAACCAATACCAGCATTGAAAATGCAAATCAGGTTGTCAGAATCCATCGACAGATTGGCATTAATCTCCAATGTTGGAGAGACTTTGTATTGTGGTTGAAAATGAAAATCGGGTTGACGTCAGAAACCAACATCAGTCGAGTTCTGGCGTCAATCTGACTTTCATTTCCAACCAAAATCACCCACTGACTGACACTACTACTGTTTACTCAAACACGTGGTGGAGTACAAAGTGCCATATTTGTTTTTCAAGTGTGGTGAAGTTAAAGTAAAAAGTTTCCAGAAAAAAATAATACTCATATAATCCTGTCTACCTCTGGTTGAAATGAATAAAGTGTGTATATAAAATATATATATATTAGGGCTGTCAGTTAGACGCGTTATTAATGGCGTTTACGCAAAGCCATTTTTTTTTATCGCGCTGTGCGGCGCTGCGCTATGAAACCCATTCATTTCAATGGCTTGCGGCACACGAGGATGTTTTGTTGCTTCGTCGACCAAAGCGCAAGCGTATATACTGTAGCTAAACCGAAAACAAAACAACAGGTACGACGCACACGCTAGTAGTTGGTTAACGTTACGTTTTGAGTATATGATAAGCACGAGGTGCTGAAATGGATGCCAATAAGATTCTGAATGGAAAGTTCACTCGTAAAAAGTTGCCAAATTCATTGACAAGACAAAATTGATCTGTGTGTTTTGTCGTTGTGAACTGAGCTATCATCATCGCGATCACAGCACGCCCAGTCTGAAATACCACTTGATGATGCCCAAACACACACACACAGCTGATTTGAATTCTCCGCCCCCTCTTCAAAAAATATCAAGAGACATTTAGAATTTTATTGCGATTAATCGCGAGTTAACTATACTAATGCGATTAATCGCAATTAAATATTTTAATCGTTTAACAGCACTAATACAAGTATATATATATATATACTTTGAATATAAATATTCTTTGAATTATATAAATAAACTTTATATATATATATATATATATATATAAAGTTTATTGCAAAATTTATTAAAATATTTCAGTATGTTGAAAGCGTAAAGAGACTGAGTTGATTACGTTATTCGCAGTGATCAATGGCAGTGGGCAGAGCTAACGAGATCTGTTGGTGAATTTAGCTTGTGTCGACTCTGATTGGTGGACTTTTCAGTACAGCATCATGGGTAATGTAGTTTTCACCAGAAAATCCACTGTTAAACACGATTTTTTTAAAACTAAGTTAAACTAATGTAGGCTGACAGAAACAAATACCATTGATAAACAACCTCGTAGCGCACAGTAGCTTTGTCTTTAAAGGTTTACAAGTTATTATTAAAAATCACTTTCCCTATAGAGAAACCGAATGGATTTTTTTATGCCCGTAACCTGACTGTTGCACTCTATAAAGTTTATGTTGACAAACAACCACTTTTCAAGTATAAAAACCTGGTAAAAAATATTCAAGGCATGTTTTTCCACTAAATTAACACAAGAAACACTATTTAAACTTTTTTATTTCTGATCCCTCAGCCACGAAACCTCCTCATGTGTCGCTCACATCTTGTGGAAGCCTCAAACACATCTACAGTTCTCATCCTTCATCAAAGTTCAGAAATTCAGACTAGCGGGTATGCGGCTATAGGTTAGATTGGGGATGGGAAGAGGCTTGTGAAAGGCTTCCCACCCGCACAGTCAAGACTTAATCATTCACAGGAACACCAGGAGCTTTTCGAGAAAATAAATGTGTTGAATTTTGAACATTAGACCAAGGATAAATAACTGTAGTCGTTACAAAGTCTAATAGATATATAATTAGCATCAAGGTGTTGAGCATTGAACACCAGGCCAATCAGTTAGTGCTATGTCTATTGATTAAATAACTGAAAATGCATAGAAAGGCAAATACTTTTATTATTGTTTTTTTTAATCAAAATTGAATTTTGTAGAAATGGAGAAAATATATTATGATTTTTTTTTTGGCTGAAATCTATGTATCATATCAAGTATCATAATAAACTTGGGACTTTTTTTCTAGTTAGCAAAAAGCAGGAACAAATTTTGATCTAAATTAGTTTTTGATCAATAAATAGAGAAAAAAAATATTATTATTATTACAACTACTTTTAATTATTATCATGCCTGAAATATTACAAGCGGCAAAAACAATACAAACAAAAAAATCTGTACTAAAAGGACACTTTTATAGTTATATTTGGTGAATAAGACATTATTATTATTATTGCTATTATTGTGGAGTTCAAAATGTTACATGTAGCCCTTTATTTGTAAAACGTTATATTTTTTTTAGTTAAAAGGTGTTTCATTTGGTAGTGAGTTTCATTTTGGTAATTAATTTAGCAAATACCACAAAAAAATTAATAATGAAAAAACGCCACCCATTGGTCCTCTAGACCATGGGTTCTCAAACATTTTGGTGCCAGGGACCCCTTTCAGGGGAAAAATAATTCCAAGGACCCCCCTCATATTTATAACAGTTATTGAGCACAAAGTTAATGTGTGAGCGGCAAATGAAATATTTTTGCACAAAATGAATGGTCTCCACCCAGGGTACTATGCAGGAATTTCTAAATAGCCTACTGAGGTAACGAAAGTGATCTTGCTAGGAATCACTTAGGATCCCTCACTTAGGAATTTTTGATGTTCTTGATCTACACATGTGCATTTTAAGGTGTTTTAAGGCCCCACAATTGGATAACTATAGATTTAGTAGAAGCATGTCAGTCAGTGGCATACTTTTTTTTTTTTTTTTTTTTTTTTTTTTTTTCAAGATGTCACGAAACACAATCACATATTCCAATCAGGAATGGCCTTAAAAGAGAAATGTTTCAATAATTAGGCCTATTCTGCACACAAATAAAGCCCATAAGCCTATGAATACAATGATAATGGCATTATGTTTAATAGGTGCGTGAGTTGTTAATTTGAGCTACTGTAATTAGCTAAAAAAACATACAGTATATGTTAAATATATGAATCCATAATGTTAATCTCATGGGCACAGTATGTTTCTATTGACCTGCTTTTTCCTTTGTTAAAGTTGAGCTTGATTAATACTTTGCAAACTGATTGTTTCAGTCGTTTTTTAAAACTTTTATCTAAAACAGCTGTTTAGTTTATGTTAATTAAGGCCTACATCTTATCTCGCACTTTATGACCGTTGACTGAAACGTCATGCGGGGAACTTTGAGTTCACTCCGACTCAAACATTTTGACATTGACGAGCTATCGTTGTTAGTCTGCTGAAGCACCTCAGACGAGAAGGTCAGTATCATCGCGATGTGCATCCTTGCAACCTCAGTTGTGGGTACGGCCCTGTCACTATGCACTTTTATTTTGATAATGATCAGACTTCTAATATCAAATCTACAGTAGCAGTGCTAGAACTGACTATTGTGCGCGCACGCGAGACGCCGGCGCGCAATTACATGGGAATTTTTCCTCAGCAGTGGAAACAGGAATACTCTTATTTATGGTCATAGATAAGACAAGAGTGCATCATCCGAAACGGTAAAGTGTCCATTTTTTTATTTGTGTATAGGCTACATTATAAATGACTACAAAATGTCATGCCTTTTAAAAATACAGAAAAGAACCGGATGCGGGTTCATGCCGTCTCTGTCTCCTTTCTGGCGCACGTCCCGCAAAATCAACAGCAGCGAATAGTCTACTTGACGCAAAGACATAGATTATCTATAGAAAACTTTAAGTGTCTACTTTGTATTGTTTTATGTTAAATGCTTTATATAAGTTACTTAGGAATAAACAGCATGTTTTCAGATGATAAAGAAAACATGACTCATAGCATGGAAAAAAACGTTAGGTTGTAAATTATTTCGCGGACCCCCTGGCTTTAGCTCGCGGACCCCCAGGGGTCCGCGGACCCCACTTTGAGAACCACTGCTCTAGACTTTGCCTACATGTGTTGTCAATTGCTGTGATCATATCATAGATAATAATAGAATTGTTTATGAATCTGTGACAGATACAGTTGCCAAGGTAACAAACCCTCAATAATATTTAGTGTCTAAACTGGTCAAGCTGTAATATCACTCACCTGGAACAACTTAAAGTTGGCCAGACCGGTCATAAAATGTCAAAAGTGATTAATAAAAAGTCAATTTTATTAAGATTTTTGACATTAGGATATGTTTTTGTTTGATAATTACTTTAAATACATTCTTCCCCATTCGTATATGTAATACAGTATGTGTGTGTGTGTGCATTAATTAGCAGATTTTTCCAAATTATATATATTTACATTTTAAGTATGCTAAATAAGTACTTTTACATAATTTCAAATCACAATTGTCTTGAAAATGTGTCTAAATTTTGCTTAATATTATTTTATTAAGGGTCAACTATGCCCTGAAATGGACATGATTTTACCCAATATTGTGATATAATAGCAGACATTGCACTGATCTATCAAGAGTTTCAAGAATTCCCGTTAATGATATTTGGCCCGTGAGAGCTGGAGCTGAGATGTTTAGTGCTGCTTTAATTAGTGGCCTGTGCTCCAAGGGTCACTTTTAGCTATTCATGCCAACACAAAGAAACATTCCCCAGGATTCCTCTTCAATTGGACTTTAAAAGAGTGCAGTTCTATAGAAGTGTTGTTTCTCTTTGACCTCCTCGCCATTTGACGTCACTCTGGCAACATTGAGCTGATGTCTGAGGTCACAACAAGTAGGGAGTCAAGTACATGACATTAACAGCATCCCACTCACTTATCCACGTCAACCAAACAGTCCATCTCATGGGCACTCTTTCCTTTTAAATCAGGAGTCTTAAAAAGTATTAAAAATTGATAAATAAGTGTGGAGAAAATTAAGGCCCTTAAAAAGTATTAAAAAGTCTCAAATGCTATTACATTTTTGTATCAGTTTTTCATTATGTAGGCTATATTTGTGCAAAGAGGTTGTATGCTTAAGTTTGCCTGAATTTAATCATGGCATAGGCGAATAGTGGGATTCTGTGTAGTTTAGTTGTTTAGTTTATGGAATCCCACTAGATAAAACTTGCATTGGGTTAGTCACGCACTTAATTCTCTTGTGCTTCGTCCCCACCCTAAGAAACTAAGACTGTTTAGTCGTGCTATCTCACAATTAATATAAAGTAAATGGAAGTTTATGTAAATGTAGAGTAAAATTGAAGGTCTTAAAATGTATGGAAATTTTTCAGAAAAAGCCACACAAACAAAAAGACAGAATGGTCCTTTTTGGGAGTATCTGTACTTTTTGAATAATTGAATATATTTCCCCCCACTCCGTCTTCAAAGAGATCCCCTACTGAGATCCTTCTGTCTGATAGAGAGCTGCTTCACTCATGAATTGAACGCTGGCGCACTAGGAGGGGGCGCTAATCACATCTGCCCGGCGACAGCAGCCATTCAGCGCTAGCGCTTTAAGAGCCCGGCTCCCAGCAGCCCATTCTGTGACGTTTCAATGTTTTCAATCTCTCCCCCCACCCTTCGCTCTCCCACTGTCATATCGGCGTGTTTTTGGCGTGGATTTTCACCCTGCGTCGAAAAAAATTAACTCAGATTTGTCAAAACCAAAGCCTTGCCTTTGTCGCTTGTCCGATGGGTTGAACCCATCACAGCGAGCTTGAAAATAAGGTAATCACTGATCCAAGTTATCACGTGTACATATTGCAAATTTGGCGAATGGGTTGTAGTGAGAGATCTCAGAATCAAGATACAAGTCTAGGATATTAAAATGGGTTTAACCCATCACAGCAAGATGTACGCCGAGGTAATCACTCATGACGGGCTATTCATCTGTTATAACGTCTATATACTGCAAATCTGGCGGTTGAATTGGAACGCGAGATCTCAGAATCGAGAAACGAGATTAGGATATTAATGCATGGGGTGTCCTGAAATCCATCGTATTGCTTTAAGACTGGAGAGTTGCGCCCTTCGTTGGTCCCTGATCAATTAGCGGAGGCTCTTTCTGTTGGCTGTTGAGTTTCGCCCTATTAGAGTCATCTGCTTGCATCCACTTCTCCTCCTCTACTGTCAAAGGGTGAAATCGATGATGCCTATCCAAATCTTTCTTCAAAATCCTCTAGAATTGGGGCTGTTTGAAGCATCTTTTGTGGCCTTGTGCCTGATTGGCTGGGGGAATCAAGATCCCATTCATCACCTAGACTCAATAGCACCACAGCAGCCTCTAGCTGGCAGGCCAGGTAGGGTGCCGAGCCACACAATGTGGGGGGATTAGCTGGAAAACTGCGGGATGCAGGCCTCTAACTGGGCGACGGGGGGCTGGACGGCCAAGGTCACCATATCCCATCCAGAGGAGACTGGGAACGGACCTTGGGAACCGACACGGAGGCTCGACTCACCGCACAGCAGGTGCGAGTCAGAGAGATAATGCCACTGCTAATGCACTTTTGTGTTCTTTCAACATTTTCCTTCTTGCTTTCAATCCGGACCACTTTGGGTTTTTCTTTTTCTCAATAAGAGTTAGCAGGGATGCCGGGCAAATTGGAATATCTGAGACTCTTAATTTTCCATTTTTTGACAGCGCGACACTTCGGTAAAGGACTAATTAGTAACTGTGAGTTGCGGTATATGCATCATGACAGTATGGACAGACAAGAAAATTCCAATTAAATAAATGGATGGGGAGTGTTTTCTTTTTTGCAGTCTGTTGGAATAAAGGGGATTATAGGTAGGTCATTTCTTGCTTCCCTGGTCTTCTATGCAGCATTTCACGATGATATTTGCCATAATTGTAAGCCAATTTTTGTCTCCACTTCTGTGCGACATTTCTTCGTTCTAATGAGAGCTGAAAGAGATGTTAGCTCGTCATAATTGGCAGGACAACAACACGTGAGGTCATAGTGATGCAAAAACTTGCGTAAGCTTCTTGTGTTGTTCTGTTTTCTTCGCTGAGCCATGCACAAGTTGTCATGACGACAGGGATGTTCTGCTGATGAAGTCTTACTCCTTGTTGTCCAATCAGATTGTGGAGCTGAAACTGCAGCATGAACAGGAGCGGACGCACCTACTCCAGGCACACAATGCCGAGAAGGACAGCCTGGTCCAGGAACACCAGCGGGAAATCGATAGTTTGGACAAGCAGGCGAGGGCCGCCATGGTCCAACAGCAAACGCAAACACAGGACTGGAGGAAGCGCGACGCTCAGGTAGGGGGTCCTTTCCCTTCCTTTACGCTGCTTTCTGACGCTTTTTGGTTTTGCTAAGTAGGATAATGTTACAGGTGATGGTTGTTTTTCTTTTGCATTACTTCTTTTAAGAAATCGCATGCTTTTTCGCAACACGAAACGACAAGGATTCAATTTGGAAACTTTTTAGCCATTACGTTCATGTGCAACTTTCCACCGCGGGATTTCCTTAAAAATTTAATCATTTTCATTGGAAAAAGCATCTGAAAACCACAGGCTGCCGGATTGAAGAGAGTAAATTTCCAAGCCTATTGTGACTGGGGCCTTTTATTGGGAACCGTAGGGTGCTTTCTTCTTCCCTTGGGATGTTTAAATTGGGGTTAGTTGTATGTTGTGCACCACACCGCTTTACAGTTCTGTTTTGCTGGTTTTGTCGCCGCGGTGCAGGTAGCATCTATCGGCTAAAATTTATCTGAAACTGGTGCAACAGGCATGTGTTATTTAGACAGTATTCATGAGCCCATAACACCTCCATTTTGGTCATCAGCGGGTTTCTGGTGCCTGCTGTGTCCGCCGCTTCGCTCTCCAGTCTGTGGGAAGCCATTCGATAGGCTAGCCCCCAACTGTGGATTCAGTGGACTCGTCAAACCCCAAGATTAAATGTAAATTGTCAGCATGGCTAAACCATATTTATTGGCTCCTAGCAAGAGAAACAAGCTAAGAAAAGTTGATGCCATATGGGCATACTGTAACAATCCATGGTGAAATGTTCCAATCTGCATTGATATATTAGCGAACGGGTATGGTAACAATACCTTAAGCGATCTATAATCAGTGTGTCTTTTTCTGTTTTGACAGTAGTGCTATTAGTGTTTTGATATCAATGAACAATTTCAAAAGAGTTTATCGTGCCATTTTCAACTATTAAGATCATGTTTCGCAACCAAAAAGCTAAATAATAGGAAAAAAACGTAACAATCGAGAGTTTTAGCGACAAAACTTTAGCGATCTGTCTTTTTTCTGTTTTGAGTGACAGTTGTTTTTACCTGCTCAGCCAATGGAAACAACCATTTTTTTTTACAGGAGGTTTGATATCAATGATCAATTATCTCGCTAAAAACAATTTCAAAAGAGTTTATCGTGCCATTTTCAACTATTAAGATCATTTTTCGCAACCAAAAAGCTAAATAATAGGAAAAAAACTTAACGATTGAGAGTTTTAGCGACAAAACTTTAGCGATCTGTCTTTTTTCTGTTTTGAGTGACAGTTGTTTTTACCTGCTCAGCCAATGGAAACAACCATTTTTTTACAGGTGGTTCAACCCGATCTCACGACCAAGTCGTACGAATTCGACGAATGATTAAAAAGTGGCTAATTCGTAACAATTCATACGACCTCACCCGTACGAATTAATACGATTTTGCTAAATCGGACATATTTTACGAATTGGCCCATTCGTATGAATTCGACCTACCCCTTACCCCGCCCCTAAACCTAACCATCACGTGGGTTTAGACAAATCGTACGAATTAGTACGAGTGAGGTTGTACGAATTAGTACGAATTAGCCACTTTTTTAATCATGCGTCGAATTCGTACGAATTGGACGTGAGATAGTGTTGGGTGGTTTGATATCAATGATCAATTATCTAGCTAAAAACAATTTCAAAAGAGTTTATCAGTGCCGTGCTGTTGAGCGTGGCCTGTTCGGTGGACACATCCTTCATCAGCTGGCTCTTAAAGGACGAGGTTTGTGGTTTGGCTGATCTGTTTCTCTTCTGAGATTCAATCATGATGCAGTTTTGTTGCCAAGAGTACATCACATCTCTACGGCCCAAACTATCTCCATTTCAAGTAGCCCCCTTCAACTCACTGAGAGTGAAACGCAGCTCATGGACTTGAAAAGATCCCTGGAAATATATTGACAGGTAGAGAGCTGATTAAAGTTAATGCTATTTATGAAGCCAATAACTTCTTTTAACCTCAACCCTCAGAGATATCCCAAGTATTGATATTGATGATGTATTGGATCACGAAAAAAATTGCAATGCTGGGCTTTTAAGGTTTCAAAATTTCACCGCTGTAATAATTCAGTACTTCCTTGAGACGGCTAAAATTTTGAATAGGAAATCTCAGATTCTGAAACTCTCTAAAGCTTTCAGATCCGGGAATATTCCTACTCTGCTCTTACTTCTGAAGGTTTCATTAGGCTATGATGAATATCACCTGGAATAGTTAATCTATGATTTATTGAATGAGCAATGTTGTTGGAAGAGCATACAAATTGTTGACCAGTGTTGTATATTGGTAACATTACAAAAATCATTCTTTTTATTATATCATATTACCCTTTTTTCCCCCTCACTTTTCCACCTGTGGCAATATTACTAGCTAGACTTCCTATTGGACGCTCTACATTTCTGTTTAGTTGCAATCAGCTCAACAACTCTGGGGGAATGTGTCCATTTAGAGAGTGCCATTACTGCTACAGATAGCTTTGAGGAAACTTCTCGGAAATTAGTATTATGACCACGAGCCTAAAACAAGCGCTAAATATGTGAAATGCATCAAAATCAATGTTTTAAGCGATCCAAACTTAGAGCACCTGTAAAGTGTATACTGTGATCTGATTCGCTCAAAGTGTTTCGTTCCGCTTTTGGCGCATAAACATTATCGAACATTTATCGACCTCTTGATATCGTTTTATCGAGAAAAATTATATCGAAATTATATAAGAAAAATTATATAATAATAATTATATTTATTATTTTATAATAAATTATAAAATTATAAAAAATAATTATCGTTATCGTTTTATCGCCCAGCCCTAGATGTATGTGCTTTCGATTGTGTAATAATCGGTAACGACCGTGTCTGGAATAGAGTGAAGAGTTACAGGATGTAATTGGAAGTGTAGATTGGGACATTGCACAGGACGGAATTGAAATCATCTCCCATCTCAAGTTATTCGATCATAAATATTGTGCGTTCTGTATTTCGCATTAGCTTTGAAGGATCAGATCACAAGGCATATTTTGACCTCTGTTTAGAGCTGACCACTGAAATAAATGACAGTTGTAAATAAGCATGTGTACAAACTGCTGTGCCACAGGTCTGTCCATTCACTGTTGAGTTAAATTTTCGTTTAATTTATGCTAATTTAATGTAATTTAATTAGATATCAGCCAACATGTACTCTAGATATGGTATTGGCAATTAAAAACTCTTATCGGTTCACACACTACTCATTACTTCATACAAAAATGATCCTATTAAGTTTCCTGTGTTGTATTTCTGTATTTTGAATTCTGATTCAAATGTTGGACATGCATAAACACTGGTTTTCCGACCACTCCCCTCAAATTCCATTGGTAAAAACATAAACATAAAGCTAGTCCCACCATTGGTTGAGCCAGTGTCACTGTGTTGAAATGGTTGGATACTGAATAGTATCTGTTTGGTTATATTTAGTTAAGTTAAGTTATATTTAGAGTTGAGAGTTTTGGGTTGGGTGATATTAATGAACAGCATGTACTTACTATAGGATTAGGTTTTGGTTTGGTATTACAGTAGATGCATGTTATAGATAGTTTAGATTGATTTTTTTTTTTTTGTCCTCAAGAGGACATTTGTTTCCACCGTAGATCCGTACACACATAACATGCTAAATTATCATATCATAATACAATTAGTGCTGTCAAACGATTAATCGTGATTAATCGCATCCAAAATAAAAGTTTGTGTTTACACAATATATGTGTGTGTACTGTGTATAATTATTTTGTATATAAAAATTCATACACATGCATGTATATATTTAAGAAAAATGTGTTATTAATATATAAAATATTTATATTTAATATAAATTATCTATCTATCTATATATATATATATACAGTTTATGCATGCAAATATTTCTTAAATATATACATGCATGTGTGTGTATTAATATATATATATATATATATATATATATATATATATACACAAAATAATTATACACACTACACACATATATATTATGTAAACACAAACTTTTGTTTTGGATGTGATTAATCGCGATTAATCGTTGCCCAGCACTAAATACAATATAAAATAATTACTGACTAAAAAAAAACAAGTATCAATGGTCGATTTTCAATATATTTAGAGCTCGTATAGATACATAGACCCTTAAATCGATAGAGATGACACGTTTCCACAGTTATGAACATCATGTTTATAACACTACACTTTGTTATATTACCTTGGCAGTAAATTACAAAAATAAAGTTTCTAATACAACAGCTGAGAGCAAATTTGTCAATCATTTTCCACTCTTTTGAAATGTCACAGGAAAACGATCATGGATTTTTTTGTTTTTTTGCAAAAATGAGAACACATTTATAGCGCTATAGACGTTTACCCAACTATGACAAAGCCCAGAATATGAAAAGGGCCCGTTATGCATAATTTACTCTTATCACTGTAAGTACATGTAACAAGGACACTGTCAAATAAAGTGTTTTTTTGTTGTTGTTTTTTCTAGTCTGTGATTTTAATAATAATAAAAAAAAGATTGATATTGGAGGTGATGTTTATCGCGTCAGTTCACATTCCATAAACCTTCACACGCCACTAGCAGTCAGTGATCCGGTGACGGGTACCATCACTCACATCTCTTCCTGGAATACACACATGTGATGTGGTCAGGACATCAGGAGCGTGCAAGATGAGCCAATGACTCGTGCTTTTCTCAGCTTTTGTTCCAGGTCGCGGTGACTTGTTTTCGCCCTGTAACGTTGGTTTGTCACGGCCCGTCCTGTAACCCGCATTACATGGTGTGTCAGTGTGTGTTTTCCTGTTAGTTGCAGGAAATCACAGCACATCTGGTTTTACAACCATCATGTCCGAGTTCAGTTTCCATTCAGAGGTTTGCTAGATTTAGCTCTGGCCGTATCGATCTGAAGGAAGATGATGAGGGAGTTCAAATCCCCTCGTCTCCGGACTGGAGTCTGTGTATTAGTTTCCTCGGACTCTGC